ATGAGAACAAAGAAGCCAGACATAAACTTTTCACCAATGGGTTCCTTTTGGTCGTCATCGAATAAATGCTTTAACAAATATTCAGAACTTAACATCTCATCCTTCAATACTTTTGGAATTCCTTCTAAAGTATAAAGTCTTGCTATAGCTGATGGATATAATGAAACAGCGTCGAAGTCAGCAATGAGTTTCTTTTCGCTCTTTTGTTTCATGTTATCTGACAACATACATCTTCCACCTTGAATGCATCTCGAAATAAATTCTCTTGGTTTATTTGAGAGGTCATAAAGATTTCCATTCGGGAAGTACACTCTGTTCTCAAATAATTTGTTAGCAATTGAACAAATGCTAACGTAGTCATAAACGTTTAAATCAAACTCTTTCAATAAGTCATTGCGGAACTTTACAAAACCTTCTCTTAAAATTCTTACATCTTGTTTGCAGTAAAACGTGCTATATTTTTCTAAGTCGAAGTGGTTTTCATCTATTCTGCAACCTTTGATGGAATCTATGTTTTTCATAAATGTATCTGCATCCTGGATAAACTTACATGCTTCAGAAATGACACCAGTTCTGTTGTCATTTGCTAACAAAGTACTGCTGTAGTAGTTATATGGAAATACTTCTTTCGGTCCTGTTTGTAAGTTAAACATAGCAGGAAATAGTTTAAGCTTCTTATTTATAACACTGTAAGAGTCTTTTATAATAATTGCCCGTCCTTTATAAACCAGTTATTTGCATTGTTCGTGAACCTTTAATGATGGGAGTTCCTTTCACTTCTGTCATGTGTCTTAAGATGAAGTTTATATCATAGCTGAGGTTATGGAAATATATTAAACTCTTGTCAGGAAGTCGCTCCAAAAATTCTGTTGCACAGTTTTGACCCCATATGCTTTCACTCACTGAACCATCTTCACTGTCGTAACAGATGTTAAAAGCTTTATGAAAGCCGTCTGTGCTACACTCAAAGTCAGCAAAGAAAACATGCTCAGGAATGAACTTACATTTAGCTTTATTTACTTCTTTTGACTCTGCTTTCTTCTTCAGTTGTACACAATACTTTGGAGCATATGTCAAATCTTTAAATGGTGTAAGGTTCTGTTTATATAAGTCAGTCGTATATGTGAAAAGTTCTCCATAAGAAATAGGTTCGAAATATTTGCACTCCCACAATGTTTTCATAACATCCCATAGCGGTGTAGTTCTATCCATGCGAACTACATATTTATCTTCTCTCTTTGTATAAATCTTCATCTGTTTCTCAATGTTCATTCCACCACAAGCTTTGAGAATTTCTTTGTAATTTCTGACGAAATATGTTGTCATTGGAAGTCTTTCATTTAGCATGTAGTGGTCTTCAACAAGAAGTAAGTCAATAGTTCGAACAGTTTCACATTCTTTTGGTATATATCTCTTTATTTCATTATGTCTTGAGTCATTGAAATAACCAATGGTAACATTAAATGCTATACCAGTTGCGTCAGAAATTTCTTGTACTTTACTTTGAGGAAAGTCTCTAACACGAATGACTTCTCTCATGTGGTCAATAGTTTCTTCATTTACTCCAGCCTGAATGTAAGCATAAACGAAGCAGTTATCTTCTGTCATAAGTGTTGCAGTTCTTTTGTTCAGTTCATTGAAGATTTGGTAGCGTTCAAGATTTATAGGTAATGTGCAAAGATACTTCCAGAACTGACCGCTTCTCTTCTTATAAAACTTCTTTTCACCATTATCTTTCCAAAAGCTTTCTATAAGTGCTGGGTTTCCTGTTTGCTTAAGAGCTTCCAAAATGGCTTTCTGGTCATTTGTCAGTGTGCTTTCATCTCTATATGGTCTCTTTTTTGGTTTGCCTTTCTTTACATCTGACATCGTTAAGGCTTCATATTCTGTTAAATCATACATCTTTATTTCAGTAAGATTCTTTATGTTTGTCAAGAAGAAGTCATAGTGCATTTCAACAATACCTGCAGCATTTGCTTCTATCTCTGATATAAAGTTCTCCTTCAAGAGCTGATGTAGTAATGTTCCAATATTATTGAGGTTTAACGTAGAACATTCATACTTTCCACCAAGTTTATAAACATACCATCCATCTTTGTTGGGAGTTTATTTTAATCTTCTCTAAGAGTCTCATGAAAACCTTACCGAAATGTTTGTGTAAGTAGTCTCTGTTTGGTTCATCTAAAGCTTCGATGTTAAAGTCAATGAGTCTATTGCCTGACTTCACATTTCTCTTCCTATTCTCTTCATCTTTCTTTAACCATCTCTCACCTTCTTTTGGTTTGTCGTCAATGGAACGAATGACATCGTTAGCTTTGTGAACTTGTTCTATAGCGCTCTTAAACATCTCTCTTCTCTGTTGTTTCAGTGTGTCGTCTCTTCTTCTTGTTTCACCAACGTTTGCATTTGTTATGTCAAACATTTCTCTTCTTACTTCATGAGGTACTGAACGTCTATGATATAAGTCAATAGCAACGTCATTTAAAGGAAATGCTCTTGCATGGACTTCGTCCTCGCCGCGTTGCGGCTTTATGAACTCATGAATTCTATCATAACTTATTGCACCATTATAGTCATTGAGGATGTCAGCGAGTGCTTTTTTGTTTGTTGCGTAATGCTTTGCAACATCTATATTAGCTTCTGTAAGAAGTTGTTTTATTTCCGAGTGTTCTAACTTAGACAACTTCCGATACATCTTTAGTAGGAAATAAAAAAATATTTTTTTGAAAAAATTAGATTAGATTTTTTAAAGTTATTTTTCAAAATAATTTAATATTTTTATTTTAATGAAACACATGCAAGATTGCAAGTTCTTTTCATACAATGCTCTCGCTACTGCCATCAAGAATGAGTTCAATAATGCTTCAAATGTTAATGTTATCTTTAACAAGAAGTTTGTGAAAGAATCTAAGTTTGGTCAGTATGTCAGACCATTAGCTATCGTCATTGACCGCAAACGTTATACTTCACAAGAGTTAGCAGTAGTTTTGAAACAAAAGAGTTTCTTCGTGAATGTCAAAGATACTCATTATACTGTCATAAAGAACTCTAACATTGACTTCTTCAGTATTGCTTTAAATCTTTCCGAACAGAAAGAATATAAGAAGGGTGAAACATCTGTGAAATATTATCCTTCATCTCTGAAGACAATAACGAACAAAGATGTTAGACAGAAATTCTTACCAAAGGTTGAAGAAGCTTCTATTGACATTGACGAAGGAAGTGAAATGGTTGAAGAAATAGACCCTGAAGCTATTTAAGCAAAAATATATTTTTGGTTAGTCTTCCTCTTTGAAGTTGTCGAAATATTCTGTTATTTTTTCCTTCAGTAATGTTAAGTCTTCTTTGAATGTAAGTATTGTGCAACCTTTGATGTCATAGTGTGTTTGAGGAAGAGTATTTTTGACAATTTCCTTTATTTGCTCATTCGGTGTCATTGAAATCGGTAAGTTTTCACGATAGAACCAGTTTCTATCAGATTTATATATCTTAGCTAAGTCATAAAAGCTCTTGTTGTTTCTTCTCACTAAATGCAACATAACCATATCTTTATCTTCTTCATTTTCCATCTCTTCAGTATATATCATATACTTATAATTCTTTTCCTTTCCTTTTGGTACTGAACGCGGTATTCTTTTCTGTATGCTTTTGTCTTTGGATTCAATGACTTCATCTTTTGCTTGAAGTTTCATTTCCATCTCTCCACGTTCTGCTTTATATAGTTCATCTAACATCATGAAAATATAACAAGCATAACGAGGTGAAGCCCACATTGCTACAGCATTTACTAAAAGTCTATGAATATAATAACCTTTCAAACCAGGAGCCAAATTCTTGCGATTTTCATACGGAATCTCTTCTCTCGGTTTTCCGAGGAAGCAATCATATGAGGAAATTCTTCTAAAAGTTCTTTTGTCTGTTGGTTTTTCAAACCAATGATATGCTTGCTTTGTAGAACGAAGAGCATTCATTATACTTTGCATTTGGTACATGTCATCTTTGACTGAACGAATGAGACGTAACTGTTTGTTATACTGTATGTACTCGTATTCTTCATTTATGGCTTCATGAACGATAGCAGTTGTTGTGTTCTCTGATGTTGACATTACTGTTCTTACATACAAAATAAAAAAAATAAATAAAAATAAAATTAGCGTTATTTTCTGACTTTCACAAAAGACCAAAAATAAACGCTTTACATGTATTTTTCAGCAACTTCGTCAAATAATTTTATAGCTTTATCTATCTCATCTACTTCAAACGTTTCTTTACCTTTCATGGGAGCACCATACATTTTCTCAAAAACTTCAAGCAGTTCTGTTTCAGCAGCTCTCATATCATTAACAAACACAACCTTGACTCTATTGACTGTACTGTCATATCTTTGAGTTATATTATATGTCCTTCCTATCTTATATCTTTGTGTGTTGAAGTCCTTCGGTTTCTGAACGATATAAAGTAAGCCTTCACTGCAACGTTCTGAGTCGAATGAACCATATGTTATGAAGTTATATCCAACAACTGGGTCTAACCATAACAAAACTATTGGTATAAGACTTTTGTCTATAAGATATGCTCTTGTTCCATGAAATGCTACTGATATCATAAGCTCAGGATTTCTTGTCAAAATTTTCTGAGTTGAAGCATTTCTAACCCAGTCGTTTGTTTTCTTTCCAGATGGAGATATAATGTCTGACAAAGAATATTTGTTGTATTTCTTTGAGTATCTTACGTTTAAATCACCTATTCTAACCACTTTGGTGTCATTGTCTATCTTTCTAACTGTTTCAAACTCAATGTTTGTCATTACTGTCTTTACATACAAAATAAAAATTTTTCTTAGAAAAAAATTAGCGTTATTTTTCTAACTAATGAAATTCATTATTTTTGGTCATGGACTTCGTCCTCGCCGCTTTGCGTCTTTATGTTAAAATAAATGGTACCATTAATGATATCATGACTGTTCTCATTCATGTCTGATTTACATCTAATGAAAAAGTTTAGAAGAATTTTCTTATTCTTTCTGGCTTATTTTTGTCTTTCCAGTACTCCCGCTCTAATGGTCCCAGATGTGTTGGCTTCGACTCTCTCAAGTTCTTAGATGGTATAACATCTTCAACGCCTCCTTCATATCTTACTTTATAAGTGTCATCGTTTATGTTATAGCCAAGTATTTCAATAACCACTCCTCGCTTTGCTTCGTCAATGGTTTTAGCAAGTTTGCCATTACTACTTTCGACTAATTTATGACGAGGGTAAAATGCTATGGAGTCGTCAGCAGCTTTTATAAGATATCCATTACCTTGCGTTGAATCTACTATATAATAATTTCGACTTAACCTTAAACGTTTCTTTGTCAACGGTTTGTCGTCAAGAACTACACGAACTTTTGTTCCAGGAATGAGAGTAAATTGTGTTGAATTTCTGATATTTTGTGTTTGGCTTCGTTTCTTTTGTATATACTTTTCTTCTTGTTGTTGTGTCATTGAATTTGGTGTATGTCCTGTTGTAGAATGTGTTGAGGAATTATATACTTCGAGAAAGTGTTTCATTGTTTCTTTGGTAAAGTCTCGCTCTTGGTTTAAATCTCTGAGCGTTCTTATGAAGCGGTTAATGATACCGAGTATGTTATGGTTATGGTCTTCAGTAGTGTAGTGAGTTATGTTATGCTTAATGAGAAATTCTGTGATTTCGTTGCTGAGGTATGCTGAATCCTGGTCTGATGTTAAAGTACTTGGGTTATGTTCTGCTACAAACTTTTGTAAAACTCTTAACACTTCACGAGTTCCTTTATTTCTCATTATATACGCAAAAGCTTTGCGAGTGTTAACATTTATGAAGATGAGGAATGGTTTATGTCCTCCTTTTCTGCTTTGAATGAGAGTGTCAAATTGGTATGCGTCGGGAGTGTTGGAGTAAATTGGTAAAAAGTAGTCGTAAGGGTTTATTTTTGTTTGATGTACAACATTTTTGTCAAAGAACTTTTTAACTTCAGCTCTGTTAGTAAATCCCCAACTCTTTGCAGCTTCATTGAACTTCTTAAATGACCTCCATGGATGTTGTTCGAATACTTCTTTCAAGCTCATTTATGTAAAGTTAAAGATTTCATTGAACACGGTAAGCCTTGACCCAAAGGGTCTAGGCTCAAGCGCGTTCATTGAACGCGGTACCATGCGAATACAGTCACAAATGGTGGCATATAATCTGCACCCGAGCCTGTTGGATTTGTTGTGAAAGTGTGTGAATGATTTCCTCCTGGTTCAGTTGGTCGAAAAATCTTTTTTGCTGCATTGTTATAAGATGGAGATAAAACGTCATTGCCAGCTTCATATTCTGAGTTGTATAATGGGTGGTCTCTTAATGAGTGGCTATGGTCGCCAGAAAAGTTTGTAGTTCCTGTATGAGTGTGCGGTGGAAGGTTTGCTTCTTTAATTTTCTTCGAACCACCTGTTTGCTTTGAAGAGTTCGCACAATAGAGGAATTTATCTACAATCTGTTCCCACGTACCAAAACCTAAAACACTTGCCGGATTTGTTGAATTCATTGACGTATAAATAGAGCCTATAGGATATATGGTTTCAAGAATCTGAGTCTTCATTGTTTGAAGTTCATGTTTAACATTTATAAATCCATCGCCGTCTACAATATTTATATTGTTTGTTATTAAACCATTAGGAAAAGTAGGAGGATAAATTCTTTGTTCTTGTACAGTTGCACCGTCTCTTCCTGTTTTTGTTACTTCTTCAATGTATGCATTAATTTCTTTAATCCTGATTGTTTGAAATTCTTCATGCGCATGCTCTTTATCAGCTTTTCCATTAATTTTATCATTTACTTCCGACTTCTTTGCATAATTTTCATCTACATAAGTTTTGTCGGCTTCCTTATCTAACATTGCTGGTAGTTCATGTGCTTCAAAGTTTCTGGCATGACCTTCAATGTTCCTGCAACTGTTATCTAAACTGTTAAGCGTGTCTTTTACGCTTGTACTTGGATTCTCTAAAGGTGCACTTGAACCAAGGTCAAAGTTCAGTATTATGTCATCAGCTCTAACAGTAGTGAAGGATTCATGTGTATGGTTTTTGTCTGCTTTACTGTCTAAAGAAGTTTGAAGTTCATTTATATCGGAGATATTGTGTTTATGAGATTTCAAAACTTTGTTCATTGCGTCAAGTTCATTTTTGTCAGCTTTACTTTTAATAGCATCTTCAAAAGTTATTTTTGACTTAACTCTTAACATAAATCTTGGTTCAACTAATACACCGTTAACAAAGAAGTATGAAGCATAAATTTCAGCGTTATAACCAAATGTTTGTGGTGCTATACCTGTGTCGTACAGTACAGTGTATGTCATAACCTTTAGCACGAATGAATTTATATCTTCTTTCATTAACATTTTTCGTCTTCACTTTTTCACCCTGTGTTAAATATCCATGATAGTCCGTTATAATCTGTTCGTCTGAACTTATATAATGAACATGGTTCTTGTCCGCTTTACTATTTAATGTAGCTTGAAGTTCATTTATATCGGAGATATTGTGTTTATGAGATTTCAAAACTTTGTTCATTGCGTCAAGTTCATTTTTGTCCGCTTTACTATTAATGTAGCTTGAAGTTCATTTATATCGGAGATATTGTGTTTATGTTCTTTATCTGCTTTTTCGGCTAATTTCTCTTCTATCTCATTTATTTCAAGTTCATGCCTACCACCACCTCCCGAAGAAGTATTTTTCTTCAGCTCTTGAAGAACGTCCACTTCGCCATCTTTGGTGTCAATAATGAGACTTTGAGTTAAAACCTTTCCTGTCTTAATGGATGTTTGTAAAACTTCTTCTTCACCGTGTTCGGGGTCATGGTCGTCATCATATCTTGTGAAATCAGAGATGTTGTCATACATTAAGCATATCTGTCTCAAAAGTTCTGCTATTTGAAACTGGAACAAAAGATATACAGAACTTTCATCATCTCCTAAAGTCAAGTCTGCTTTCTTAAGTATTTCTTGAATGTATGCAATGAGAACAGAGTACCTTGGAAAATATTCGAACAATATTTCATTAGCTGTTGGTTTTGGTGGTTCTTCTGGAGTTTCTGTTGTTTCAGTTCCTTCTGTAGGTTCTGTTGGAGTTTCTGCATCTCTTGACTTCAATGCTCTTGCTCTCAAAGACCTAAATGTTAGAGCACCGGGTTTTACAAAGGACTTTATAAATGCTTTAATAGTTCCTGGTAAGTTATTGTTAGCATTAAGTAAGTTCCTTATGCTTCCATCATGTACGTCCATAGCACTATGTAAAAAATCTATACTTTTCTTGTAGTCAGCAATAGACTGACTGTGATTTTTTAAAGATTTGTCAATACCTTTAAGCCAATCTTCATGCATGTCTGATACTGAGCCAAGAATATCATTTGCTTCCTTTAGTGTATTTTGTGCTTCTCGTAAAGTATCCAATCCCGTACGTGCATTGTTTGCTATACGTCTTACAGTATCTATTTGACTCCTTGTTTCTTGCATCCAACCAGATAAAGTTTTAATAGTATCCGAACCATTTGAAATGAAGTTCAAAGCATTTTTAACGTCATCTAAAACTTCTTCACCAAGTACTGCCCATATCTTTCCGATTTGGTATTGAAGAACTCCATATGACGCAGCTGTTAAACCAGTATTTATAAGGTTCCATATCCATGATTTAGCAGTTTTTCCATCCTTTCCATCTACACCCTCCAAACCGTTCTCGCCTTGAGGTCCTTGTATTCCTTGTATTCCTTGTGGTCCTTGAGGTCCGGTGTCACCCTTCTCTCCTTTCAGTTCATCTTTATGTTCGTTATAATATTCTAATGTCATAAGGTGTACATCATTACTGCTACCAGCAACGCCGAGAATTTGTTTCTCATTCATGACTAAATTCTTTAGGCATTTAATGTTGTCGTCAAATCGAAAGCTCTTTAACAATTCAATGAGAACATTCAGTACTTTCACTAATGAGGCATCTACTGTTGAATTTATATATTGCACCGTTCCATCATTTATGATGGGAACCTTGCTTGTTGTAATGAATGGGTCATAAGTGTTAAAAGTATCGAAATCAATGACTTTTTTAGTTTTTCCATCGTCAATGACTAAATCATTGCCTTCAATGGTTAAAGTTGAGTTTTCGTTTACTAGTTCATGTGCTCTTCTTGCTTCATTTGTTTCATATGCATATGCAGCAATAGTCATATTTTAATGAGAATAAAATGTTGTTCTATTTGCAAAGTACAGACCCAAACGAATACGGGACAGTAAAGCTACAAACAAACTTAGGTCTTCAGAATGAAGCGCTTGCTTTCAGAGTTGTTGACTTCAATACTATCGCAACTTTTGTCATAACAGATGAAACAGATTTCATAGAGATTGAAATAGATGACAAAAGAAGTGTTATAACATTTCCTAATAGAGCTGGGTATAGAATAGATAAAATTGCTGGAGTCATAGATACTCTCATAAATGAAGAAACTATTGACAACATAGATGTCGAACTCTCTTCTGAGGGAACATTGAAGTTCAGCAGCGAGAAAGAGTTTAAGATACCAAGAATGAGTCATAGAGTACAACTTCTTTGGGTGCATACCATATGACATTTCTTTGAAAAGTGTTGACAAAACGATTGAGATGAAATCTGTTCCATATGTATGTTATGGTAATTGTTTGTACGTTGAGTCAAAAATAGCTAATGTCACAGGTATTTCAGGAGTTAATAGTAAAGGTTCAGTAGAATATAAGTCTTTCTGTTATGCAGTCAATTCAATGTTCATTCCAAACGTTCCTGTCATAGCAACTCATTTAGGTAAATGGGTTCGCATTAGTCCACATAATTTGAAAGACATGCAATTCAGACTTGTTGACTTTCAAGGAGAGCCTGTAGAACTGAAGGCACCAGTGCGAATGACTGTTGAAGTTGACTTTTTAGAAAATATTAAATGCAACAGCTTACAAGAGAACTCAGAGCTAAAAATATAAAGTATGAATGTTATGTATTAGGTCATGAACTTTGGTTGTTGCTGTTTGATGAAACAAATGAGTTAGTTATGTCAGTCAAGAGAACAGAAAAATATTGTGTTAGTGAAAACTGCACCAAGTCAATAAGATTAGGTTTGCATTATGAAGATGAGTTCGATACTGTTGAAGAAGTTTTGGATAGATATTACAAATTGCTAACTTGAAATTTTTTGACTGACGGCGCAAAGCGCCAAGATGGGCTCAAAGAGCCCTCCTGACTGCTTTAATTTACTAAAACATATTTCAAACAAAGCTTATAGTCAGTAGATAGTTTTGTATACTCGTTCGAATATTTATACTTAAACTCAACTCCTGGAGTACCTGGTATTTCAATGATGCGGATGTTACCTATTTTCATGAATAGTGGAGTTTGACCACAGCATTCGATTTCAGGGTCGAGATAGTCAATGACACATTGTTTCCCTGTTATTCGTGAGATAACATTTTCAAGGTCCTCCTTTGTTAGAATTATTTGGTTCTTACTTATAAGAGTTGTCAAAAGCTTCTTATCGTCTTTGAGTAAAATTGTTTGGTATAACTGAAGAAGGTAATGGTCTATGTTATCTGAAGGATTTGTTTGAACATTTGTGTAAGGGTTGTCGTTGGCTTCTCTTGAAAGAACTTGGTCCAGTGGTGGATACTCTAACTTAACATCTGATGTAGCGTTAGCGTTTGAAGCTGTGTTTAAATTCACCGACTTAAGATCTGGTTCTTTTTCTTTCAAACACTCCGAACTATAGTTCTTTATGACAATATTGTTTGTCGTTCGTGAGTCAACATTTGATGTTGGTTCAATTGGAACATTAACGGCACCAGCTAAGATGGATTTGCTTCTCATTTCATATAGAATAAAAACCTTTTATATGTATGAAATGAACAATATACTCGACAAGGGTTTGAATGTAAAGCTAACGAATGAAAATATTGTTGAATTCACTGAGACAGGAGCTGTGTATAAAGATGTAGAACTACTGAACAAAAGAGCAAAGGGAAGAAGCAGGAATATGAACAAAGGGTGGAAGCCTATAAAAATTTATGTCAATGATGGCTCAGGAGGTTCAAACATAAAGTATGCAGAAAGTTATAGAGTTTATGCTCTCAAAGGTGAAAAGCCTTCATTTAAGAACAGCTATTCTAACGCATATCCTCAAAAGCTAACGGATGGGGAAGTGGATGATATGAATGACAGCAAAAATATTAACAGAAATGGCGACAGAGATGCATGGAATTTGTTTACCATCAGTCAATTGAAGGTTAAACTTTAAAACAATGTTGGTCGTTCCCATGGAATATTTTTGACTTTAATGGTATTAGTCATGATATGAATCTCAAGGTATGAACGAGGAGAGATGAGAGACTTATATGCTTCCCAAATTTCTTCAAAAGGTAATGTTATACCTGACTGTTTCCAAATGAGTTCAATATCATAACGTGAGAAACCTTGAAAGATAACGAAGTCAGTTATGAGACGTTCTATGTTTAAAGCAAGAAAACGCCATGTTTGCATAAGTATTGCTACAGTTAAATGGTAATGTCTGACTTTAGTTATGATGTTAGCTAATGGTGAGTCTGGTTTTGACACTAAACCTTTTCCGGCGAAGTCGTCACAAACGAGCAGAGTGTTTGAAGGATATTTTTTGAAGGGATATTTTGAAAGTTTTGACAGAATGTAGTTTGTAAGTCGTTTCATATCGTAAACTCCTGAGTATTGACGTAAGTGGTGTTTGTCAATAATTCTTTCCATCTCCTCAGAAGTCTTTTGGAGTATATAAGAATTTCCGAAAAAGTGACACCTAAAAAGTGACACTTTCGATAGGGAGTAACACTTAAAAAGTGACAATTTAAAATTCACAATAAATAAAAATAATAATTTTTTAGTCTATTAAATTATTCTTTTCTTTGAAATCCTCCAAAAATTCTTCGAAATGTTCTAAAATATAACCTGGAGAATTATAACAAAATTCATTAATTTCTAACATATACGTATCTAACAATTCATTTGGAATTTCAAACGATCTTAAATATGTAATTGAATTTTGTATCTTCTCATTTATTTGAGAAAGTTTTTCTTCAGCATTTTCCAATAAAAATCTTAATGGATTCAAATTGGCTTCTTGATTCTGAACAAAATTTAATACTTGGTATAAACGTGATTGAACTTCTCTTTTCAATTTTGTTTTATAATCTGTCAATCGAGGCTCGCGAATTCTAATTGAAGGAATAAAACCTGTTTGAAGTAAATTGTTTTTAATACGATAAAAGTAAATTGGGTGCAACTTTTCTAAAATATTTTTGACAAAAAATCAATTCTTTGATTTTTAACGCAGCCAAAATCGTGATATTTTATCTTTTAAAATAAAGATTCAGAAACGTTATTCACAACGGTTAATTCATTTGGTCTGGCAGCGGCTATCCACTGTTGTTTATGAATGTCCCACTGACGTGTAAAGTATTGATTAAATTCAATTGATCTTGAATTTTATCAATAATGTGCTCTTTATACATTTTTGCAGCATCTTCTTCTGTGCAATCACGATAATAACATAAAATGTTCATAAATTTTTCGACTTCTGATCTAATCTCTTCATCATTTATCTTTGAGAGATTCTTTTTAAGTGCGCGTATTACATGTAGCGCGCACCAAAAGATATTGCACTCCGGAAATGAATTCCTAATCCCGTTGAAAATGTTTAGTGCACAGTCAGACATGATAAATTCAGGTTCTGTGTGAGTTGTTTCAAAATATTTACTTAAGCAAAAAGAAATATTTTCACTATTATCTGGATATATTATAAAATAACACAAAGGGATAGAATGAGTATTAGCAAATTTGGTAGCTAATACATAAAAAGGAAATCCATGAATAATTAATTTAAACGTAAGTCTAAGTGATAAATTGGTGGTTTTTCATGAATTTGAGAGATCATATCATTATCAGAGTAAATAAAAACCAATTTGTCTGGAAAATCAGTATCTTCACCTTGAATGTCAAAATAAATAAGGTCATCATGTTGATCTTCCCATTGATTAACATAGTTTTGTAAAGATTGAAATTGATTTAAAGATATGTCTGGTAAAGATCTCATAAGATCTTGTTGTAAGACGAGTTACGGAAAGTGAGGTGAACTGAAAAAGTGACACTTATTTGGTCGGATAAATTCCCTATATATTTACTTGTCAAAAAAAATCAGACTTTTTTTGCTTTAAAAAATTTATAAGTTAATTATTGAGAACGAAGGTGAAAGGAAATGGATATCTCTTACCTTTCATTCCCTCGAGAAAGTTCAAAAACTTGGGTGCAATCAGAACTGATTGCACCCAAGTTTTTGAACTTTGTATAAGGAATTGTTGGCTATGATGTACTGATCATGAATCAGTACATCATAGCCAACAATTCCTTCGCAAACAGCGGGAAACTTTGTCTGAATAGTTTAACATTCAGACAAAGTTTCCCGCTGTCAGAGAGGGAATGGAAGGGTAAGAGGTATATATATTCATAATGTATACCTCTTACCCTTTCATTCCCTCGAGAAAGTTCAAAAACTTGGGTGCAATCAGTTCTGATTGCACCCAAGTTTTGAACTTTGTATAAGGAATTGTTGGCTATGATGTACTGATCATGAATCAGTACATCATAGCCAACAATTCCTTCGCAAACAGCGGGAAACTTTGTCTGAATAGTTTAACATTCAGACAAAGTTTCCCGCTTCAGAGAGGGAATGGAAGGGTAAGAGGTATATATTCATAATGTATACCTCTTACCCTTTCATTCCCTCGAGAAAGTTCAAAAACTTGGGTGCAATCAGTTCTGATTGCACCCAAGTTTTTGAACTTTGTATAAGGAATTGTTGGCTATGATGTACTGATCATGAATCAGTACATCATAGCCAACAATTCCTTCGCAAACAGCGGGAAACTTTGTCTGAATAGTTTTAACATTCAGACAAAGTTTCCCGCTGTCAGAGAGGGAATGGAAGGGTAAGAGGATATATTCATAATGTATACCTCTTACCTTTCATTCCCTCGAGAAAGTTCAAAAACTTGGGTGCAATCAGAACTGATTGCACCCAAGTTTTTGAACTTTGTATAAGGAATTGTTGGCTATGATGTACTGATCATGAATCAGTACATCATAGCCAACAATTCCTTCGCAAACAGCGGGAAACTTTGTCTGAATAGTTTAACATTCAGACAAAGTTTCCCGCTGTCAGAGAGGGAATGGAAGGGTAAGAGGTATATATTCATAATGTATACCTCTTACCCTTTCATTCCCTCGAGAAAGTTCAAAAACTTGGGTGCAATCAGTTCTGATTGCACCCAAGTTTTTTGAACTTTGTATAAGGAATTGTTGGCTATGATGTACTGATCATGAATCAGTACATCATAGCCAACAATTCCTTCGCAAACAGCGGGAAACTTTGTCTGAATAGTTTAACATTCAGACAAAGTTTCCCGCTGTCAGAGAGGGAATGGAAGGGTAAGAGGTATATATTCATAATGTATACCTCTTACCCTTTCATTCCCTCGAGAAAGTTCAAAAACTTGGGTGCAATCAGAACTGATTGCACCCAAGTTTTTTGAACTTTGTATAAGGAATTGTTGGCTATGATGTACTGATCATGAATCAGTACATCATAGCCAACAATTCCTTCGCAAACAGCGGGAAACTTTTCCGAAAAGTTTAACATTCAGACAAAGTTTCCCGCTGTCAGAGAGGGAATGGAAGGGTAAGAGGTATATATTCATAATGTATACCTCTTACCCTTTCATTCCCTCGAGAAAGTTCAAAAACTTGGGTGCAATCAGTTCTGATTGCACCCAAGTTTTTGAACTTTGTATAAGGAATTGTTGGCTATGATGTACTGATCATGAATCAGTACATCATAGCCAACAATTCCTTCGCAAACAGCGGGAAACTTTGTCTGAATAGTTTAACATTCAGACAAAGTTTCCCGCTGTCA